AGTCCTCTCTTGCAGAGTGGCTTTTCTTCCTCAAGGCATGAGGAATGACGGGAGCATGGCACGTGCATCTGAAGGCAGGAATGGGGAATAAAAGTTGCTAATAATTGTAGTAGTTGTGTATGAAGGTGCTTCTGCAATGRACCATAAAAAAAGACTTTTCATTCTCTAGGTGGCCAGAGTTTCAGAGGTGCTGAGGGTATTCAGATTTCACAGATTCAGCACAGCTGCAGCAAAATGAGCCCATCAGCTTCTTCATCTTCCCTGAAAGGCATCTCCTGCTTTTAATCACCAAAGTCCTGTGTAAGACTAACACATTCCCATTTAACAAATCACCTCTTCTAAAGCAGCCAACACAGACTATTTAGAGTGCCAACTGCCTCCCCCTGCAAACCTTGCTTCACTCACAGAAATTGCTGTTCACAGAAGTCTTTAGCCTAACCAGAACATCTGAATGCCCATTTCTCTTCAGAAAACTGATGGAAAGCAGGTGCCCAAAAGCTGTTCCAGCAAATATATTGACAACTCTGAAATGTGATTTGAGCAGTTGCTGTCGATGCCGGGGTGGCTCGGAGTGTGCCAATCCCATGCTTGTCCATTCCTGGAGACAGCTCTTCCTCATTCACCCCTGGCACTTCAGGCTCAAGATTACACCTGATCTGGAGCATCCTTTGACTAAACAAAACAAACCGTGAGCTGATCGCCCTGTGCAGTGTGCAACCACACAATAGTAATCACAGCTAATGACTCTGCTAAATGCTAGACTGCACACACCTCCTTGTTTGGTGTTTGTTTTGTATACAGAAGGTAACATCGACTGAATAACGAGGATGCCAAGTTACAGATGGGKTTGTGGAATCGTATTTGACAGCCGATTAGAGTAATCTGACAGAAATGATGACTTAATCACCACGACAGACTCCAAATTCCCAGATAGAATTCCACCCAGGTTAATCTAATTTCCTTGCAATATTTTTGCCAGAAATAGACTCTTAGCCGGCTTGTTTTCTCCCATGCAGATGTCACATGGCTTTGACAAGAATGTAAATAGGTACTGTTATTACTGCTGAAAAGATGACTTTGAGGCTCTAAAGCAGGAGAGGTTTTGTGCCTTTGAGAGGCATTGGGTTGCTTTGCTGTGTTTTTTTCTCTAATGAAGTTTTGTTTACATCCAGCAAGATGTGCTCAGGAACAAGAGGGGAGAAAAAAAGATGTAACTGTTCAATTGTAACTCTAGGCCATGGCCTGGTCCTGCTACTGCCCTGGACATAGCCAGGAGCCAGATTCTCAATAATTTCAGGGAGATTTTCAGGGTTGCATGTTTGACAACTGTTTCTTTGTCTTTTTGGTTCCTGTGGACTGCYTCAGCAGCCCTGCTTGGGATGTGCCCAAGGAGAGGCAGTGATGTGCTTGGCCCCAGGTTTGAAGCCCTACTTTGCTGCCAGCACTGCCACAAGGCACTGGCAACCTTGGGCAGCAGGCTCTCWGCTGTAAAACAGTGGCATTGTGTGKTTTKGGCCGATGRAAAGGCAGGTCYCTSCTGCACAAGTGTGCTCAGCAGAACTCTCTGTAATTCTGACGAGGAGAGGCTGTTCCTTACAGCCTGGGTTTGATATCCCCACGCACAGTGCTTGCCTTGGGAAGCTGCCCACACTCAAAAAGAGCTGTTCTCTTTTACTATGTGCACTGAGCATAGGATGATGTTCAAATCTATAAATTACTTGCTGAGGTTATTTTTCTTATTCTTGCTTCTTTATTAATTGTAAGTGTGCATTCATAAATAGTGTATTTTCATAAGCAAAGCTTTCTCCAAGAAAAGAAGGAAATGTTTCCTGTTGTTCTGTGTGACAACATGACATACTGAGAAATCACTTACCTTGAGATCCATAAGTGATGTATAGCTACAATAACAGCTTTCTGATAAGGCAGGAAATCCTTCATTTCGGTAGATGACACGATTCTAGTGAATGGCATCTAATTTGAAACACTTTTATATCATCTATAATCTTTTGGAGGGCCTGGGAAAGCACAGCTATTTTATTATTTTACAGCCTGCAGTTATACAAGGAAGATATAAAACACACAGATTATTTTCTCTTTTGCTCATTGCAAAGTGAACAGATAGTACCTATTTAGCTTTTGTCTCTGCCCCTTTAATTTTCTTATTCAATACACACTTCTTGGAGAGTCACTCTTTTCTTTTCTTTTCTCTTTTACACCTACCTTTAAATATTTTATGGGTAGAGAGCTTATAATATGTATTGTCACGGCAGTTGTCTCTAGAGGTCAGCAATGAGTTTAATAATGAGATGCGAACCAGTGACTCTGTAAAACCCATTTCAGGTTAYAAATGGCATGTTTTATTGAATCTGGTGTTAAAGGTTGTTAACGTATCAATTGGTGATGGTCAGGGTTAAACAAGCTTCAACATGAGCCCTCTCATGTTAGGAAACTGTCAGTAAGRTATTTTTCCACATTCCTCTTCACTGAAGCCAGGTTTGTGTGTCACATCCGTTTTTCTGGGGGTGTTCTGTGGTTTAAACACTCCTGTCCTGAGCTGGATCTTTTATTAGTTTTTCAGTGATGTAATTCTAAGCGCAATGGCATCACTCCCAAATTCAGATTGATGGTGTGAAGAGAATTTGGACCACGAGTTTTTAGCAGGAACTTTTGAAATCAAGTCAAAACCCTGTTGAAGCGTTACATTTTGCCTCTTACTTCATGAATGTGTCTGATTACTGAGTTAATGAACTTGGGGTAATTATGTATAGCCAAAGAGAATGATTTTGAATGCAATAAATGTGTTTGTCAGGTAACACTGATCTTTGTGTTGTGACCATGGGCTGCAAAAATAACTTCTTCACATGAATTTTGTCTGAAGCTGACTTCTCTGGTTCAGGCAGTTTGATAAATGAGAGGTTTTTTAACCTTGTTAGAATTGCCTTTATTCAAAATATCTCCTCTTAGGGACATATAAATGCAGCCGTAAAGAGAGGTAGATTCTCTGTCTACAAAAGCTCTGAATTTGGGTTGGTTTTTCTCTTGTATTCTGCATTTTCCTGAATTCTGAATACTTGCCTTTCTTTCCTCTGTTTTCTCACCATTCTGTTGCTCCTCAGAGATATCAGTAACCTGCCACGGGCTTGTGGAGCAAGTTACACCTTTTTTTTTGTTCTTTCTGTTTTTGCTTGCTGAGTGGACGTGCTGCCTCACATTCCCATGAATTTTAAGTCTCCTGCAGTGCCCAGTGTATTGTTGATGTCAGGAAAAATGTTAAACACCAAAGAAGACAGGGAACGATAGAAGTTCCCTTTTTCCTATAAAACTGATTGAATAAGAGCAGTGGCAGGAAAGTGCTGGGCTATTAAAGTCCATTTAGGATACAAATGATTCAAAGAGAGCAGAATTGTTAAAACTGAAGCAAATTTATGCATCCTGACAACTACATCCACCTTGTGGCTTTGCCTTTCCCTAGGACACAGTGGGGAGCTGTGCAAGCAGCACAGGGAATGCATTGATTTGCAAGGCCAGGGAGCGTTCTGGACTTTGAGTAAACCTTACAGAAACATTCACAGCAATATTTTATATTTGCTAAAGAACCCAGCAACTTTCCCCCTGGTGGTTAAGTTGCTCCATCAAAAGCAATGCAGATGTGGGTTTCTGTGCTGCTTTGAAAGCACATTTGATATSAGAGCATGGATGTTCTCTCCTGCTCAGCTGTTTTTGTCTCCCAGAGTTTGTCATAACTTTTAKTAAAAAAATGGAATTGCCTCTGACATTTTCAGGCAATACTCAGCTGTGCTGCAYTGAAAAATGATAAAAAAGTAGAGAGAGCATACATTTTTTTCACCTGTTCCCGTGAATTGGTAAGGAATTGCTGAGGAGAGAAAAGGCAGTGGCCCTGCTGCTGCCGGAAGGTTTGTGCGGTTGAATTCCAGCAACTATGCAGAGCCCATGAAAGAAAATAAAAATGGGTGGTTTTTTTGCAAGCTTAAACATCTCCCACACTGAATCTCAATGTGAGGTAAGTCCTGGAGGCTTTTGAGGAGCTGTAATAAAATTTCCCTGAACACACCACAGTGGCCAGAGGCTGGCTATTAAAAATGTCCTGTGGAAAACTCACCCACTCTGATCAGAGGGAGCACCAACTGTTGTGGTGTTATTGTGGTGTTATTATTCCTGAAAGAACAAAAAAACATTTGTAGAAATTTTGTTGGCACTATCAACAATTCAGTGTGGGAGCAGCATCATTCAGTAGAGAAAGCTGAGGACACACCAGACCAAGTGTGCCAAGGTGGGATTTCAGCATGGAACGGTGCACACAGGGCTTGGTTTCCTTTGCAGCAAGAGGGAGACATGGATGGAGGAAGAGACTGAAAAGGAAAAAGGATTTGGAGTGTTTATGGAAACCAGAATTGTTTTACGTTGTGGTGGAAGCTTTACAAATGAATATATATTGTATTCTGATGCAAAAATATGAGATACTGAACAGTTATAGGAAGCTATTTTAGGAATCAAGATCCCTTCTCCAGTCCCGAAAGAATCAGCAGAGTTTTTTAATTACAAGCAAAGTTCATTTGTCAAACTCAACCCCTCTGAGTGTGTTTGAAATGCTTGCTGGTTCTTAAATTACTTGAAAATTCCATCATGGTTTTGGCAGTGGTTGAGCCCAAGGAAAAAAAGTTGGTAAAACAGAAACCAAGCAKGCCATAAACTAATGAGGGCTGTAACTTTAGAGGTCTTCTGAAACTAGATACAGCAAATTAAAGGTTTATATGAGTCCTGTGGGCCCAATGATCTTTTTTTTTAATCTGCCTCATTATATAATACTCCTTTACCATTTTATTTTTTCTTATAAGCCTATAGTACAGTGTTATTTTGAATTTATATACTTTTGACATGTTTAGTATTAAATCGGTCTCTTTTTAGCCCTTCATTAAAAACATGATTCTTGWTTTTTTATGACTATCCAACCTGCCTTACTCTCTTTCATTTTTTTTTAGATGCATCATCCTATTCAGATGAAACCTGCAGATAGTGAAAAGTCAAATGGTACGTGTTTAATTTATTTTTACTTAATTGTGTCTCTTTCTAAACTAAAGTAAACACAACACTATCAGAGTTTTTGTTTTAGTGCTTTTGTGGTGAAAATGTCAGGCAGCTTCCCTGCATCTGACATGTTGGAAAGCTGTTGAGCTGCTCTGAACTCCCTTTTACCTTCTGCTTTGAAGAAGGAAGGAAATGTCCGCAAAAAGGGTCTCCCTTGTTCRTGCTGTACGTCATGGTCCACCTCACTGCATGCATCCTTCCCTTGGGTTCTCCTAACAGTGAGGAAATGCGGGAGCACCTGAGATTGATAAGATGGAGGTAAAACGTTAATGCTGAAAATTAAAAATTAAAGAAACAAAAAGGCATACTTGTGTTAGCAAACTATGTAAGCACGTGATCGGCCTTAAACATATGCCAAAACTACCTTTTTATAGAATGATGCTATTCTGAATCTGAGCCAAGTTTAGGTTTTAATCATATGCTTCATTATGAGCTGGGAAACCCACTTTGGAGCTCTCTGTGTACTTATTCCTCACAACGATTGAAAAATGAATGTTATAAAGACAGTAATATCCATTTGGAATACTAGGGTACTGCCTAAGTGGATGTATATGACATGCAAAATAGGTGGCAGGCTAAATCTATTAAACATGCCAGGTTTATATATTCAGGGAAATAAGATAATCGAATGGTAGCGCAACTCGGCGGCGTGTGATTCTTTAAAAATATATACGTGTGTGTTTTGCCCCTTGATTTGTTCCTGTAATTTTCTAAAATATATGTTAAAGATATCATCTGCCTTCTTAGATTGCAAGAGCTTCATTTTCCCACAAGGCCCACATAATCAGAGCTGGTTCCTCCAACAGGCATCTTTGCACCTCATTAATTAGTAATCAGGGCAGAAGCCGTGCACTTAGAGATCTACATACCTGCAAATGTAAATTATGATTGGGCTCTAAATCTCTCCTCAAGGCTTTTTTAAGGCTTCTTTTTCTGCTAATTGTAGTGCATCCCTTTTTCAGACTTCTCTGAGGATTACGAAGTTTGGAAGGAAATTAAAACTTCACATTATGCTAGGTTTCCCATTATGACAACTTTCCAAACAAAAGTGGCCATGAGCACGGGAAGTTTGAGCCGTCACCCATTTGTAGGAGAGGAGGGTTCTCTYTTTCAGGTGGGAATCACAAAATCATTGAATATTCTCAGTTCTCCTTGAGGGAAAATCCACAAGGATTTTCAAAATCTGGTTCCTGGCCCTGCACAGGACAWCCCCAAAAATCCCACCATGTGCTTAAGAGCATTGTTAAAACACTCCTTGAGCTGTCAGGCTTGGTGCTGTGACCCCTGCCCTGGGGAGCCTGTTCCAGTGCCCAGCCACCCTCTGGGTGCAGAACATCTTCCCAGGGAGTTTTAGCAGTGATTTCTTGCTGKTTTTGATTGCTGAGAATAGAGGACAAAGCACCTGCATGGGCAGAAGGATTGAACTTCCCAGGCCCTGCTGCAGTCGAGGAGAATTTTGGTGCTGGAATTCAAACTCTGCTCCCTGGTGTTTAGTGCTAGCAGTGGGCACAATTATCCCTTARGCACAGGAATACTGGCCTGAACCCTCTGAACTAAGTATGGCTCTGTGGGTTGTGCTTTCAAAGACAAATTTCACCKCAATTTCCTTGGCAAATTAGAAAAATAAGAGGCAATGGGCCAAAATTGACTCCCAGTGAGTTACTTGTTCATTGCCTGAAGTGTTTCTTTCTAAAGGAGATTGAACATATTGGAAAAACACTGTGGGGAATTGTGCAAATTCTGTCTTTCTCTGCAAGTAGCACCTGCTTGGAAAGCAGGGTAGGTTGGCTCCTGGCTGCTGCTGTTAGTCTGGGGTTATCTGCATGAAACTCCTGTCTGCACTGTGGGAACACTCTCTTATTTTCTGGCATCTATTCCAAGCATGAAAATCACGAGGTATTGTGGGGTTTTGATTTTTTTTTTCTTGCCTTTCTTTGTATTTTTTTGGGGAAAACAAATTGTCAGTTCAGGGGTTCCAACTGTCAAATTAAACCCGTTTTTAAATTTAGACTCCTGAAGGGTGTGGGAACTTCTGATAGGCATGTTCAAGGGGTGGTGAACTATTTGTTTTTAATTGAGTGGAGAAACAGAAGGCAAAGTAATACCACAATGATGGCAATAACGGTGCAGCTCCTCAGAAAGGCAGGGCGTAGGTGTGGGGCTCGTGGAGTGGGTGACAGTTTGCAAGCAGCTTGGAGACCAAGAAAGAGAAAAAGCAGCAGCGTGGGGGATATGGAGGCTTTTTTGGCAAGTGTTTCCCACATGCTCCAGGCTATCCATCTGAGGAGGTATATTATCCATGCCAACAGCAAATTGTACCTCTTCAACCAGATTGTTGAGTTCAGAGGGGAAAAGAAAGAAGGCATGCCAAGGCATCTTGGTTTGCAGATCTGTGGTGGTTGAGCTTKTAAAGACTACTTGAAACTTTTGGATTTCCGAGTTGTGGGAGGATCCCAGTAGATTTTATAGGTAAAGTGCTGTTTCTCAGTTTACAAAGAGGTTAAAGAAATTCTCTTGGTCAAAAATTTGTGGAAAGATGTGTAGGACAGGCTGAACACTTTACAATTTTTCTGAGCTTGTACAGGTTTGTGAAGGACTGATAGACCTGCTCGAGTTTCATAGGAAGGAGGGAGAGGTCCTCTCCTTCAGTTTACAGAGGTTTTCAAAGAACAGTGTTTGCTGTGTGATAAAATGTCATCTCCCCATATTGAGTCCCTTGTGAAAAAGGTTTGAATGAGCATCCAAGCCAGAGAGTACCATGGTGAAATCTCCTCCTTTTCCATCACTGTTCCTGCCCTCAGATGTTTGCATCACTTCCAAAACCTGTCCCTTGGCACCAAAGGCCAGGCTCACCTCATAGAAATTGGGAAGTGGGTGTGGAAGGGACACMTCCTGCACACCCAGACCAGGTTGCTCAGAGCCCCATCCAACCTGGCCCTGAACACCCCCAGGGATGAGGCATCCACAGCTTCTCTGGGCAGTGATTCCTTCCCTGCCTGCAGTGTGTCTGAGTCGTTTCTCTGCTCATGCAGATCAAGCAAACCTTATCTCTTCCACCAAGCTTTTAGCAGCTAGAGTTGATGGGGCAAGACTTGCCCTCAGATCTAATTAATTTGTCTACCCAGGAGGACTCTGAAAAGCTCCTTATTGTTAACAAATGAAACATTTCTGAAAGATTTTCAGATTATGAATTTTGCAGTGTGTTCTGGTCTGATTACCCAGGAGGTCTGGTCTGATCACCTTTGTGCAGGTTGTTTGAACCTATCTACAAAGTTTTGGTTAAGGATTTTCTGCCAAAAAAGTGTGATTTCAGCTTTGAAGGCAGCACCATTACTAGATTCATCACTCACAGTATTTATCCTTTTAAGGACATTTTCCCTTTTTCAAACAAAGGGGGTTCCTCCAGTCTAATGCTGAAAAACTTACAAACACCTGCTTGATTCTAAGTTGTCTGTGGCTATTAACATGCCATGATTTTCAAATGCTCAAAGGTGTCTTGGATCTGGATTTGAACACAGTCAATACTTTCAGGCACATATCCTGCAGACAGTGTGCTCTTAAATGGATCAAAGAATCACCACTTTGGGAAAAATGTCAAAATTGTAAATTAAAAAAAAAAAAAAAAAGTAGGGAGGAGAGTAGATGAGTAATCTTATMATTTATTTTAATTTATTTTATTAGTGGAAAATTTAAAAAATAATTTTGAAATTCTAAGTGACACAACTTTGCCGATTTGGAGGTAGTAATTASATGCCATATGTTAGCACTAACACATAGAAAAGTTGATAATTAATGCAGACATCTCTGGATTCAGGTGTGACTTTGACAGATTGTATGCAAGGGGTTTTCACAGGCTTACAGCTAGGGATAAAAAGTCTGGTTTCACCCCTTCCCTTCTGTATGGGAGTAAAAAACYAAAACAAAACCCCACACCATTTATAAATAATTAACTATTTACCTATTTTCTCAAAAGAGAAAGCATCTTCTGGGGAGAAAATGCACTCTTCATSTGACTGAACTCCTCAGAAATGTACAATAAAGGGTTATAATTTTAATCTTTTATAGTTTGGGGGGGTTTAGAAGAGTGAAAAGTTTSTTAAATCTTCAGGGAGATTTCCCATGATTATTGCAGGGTTTAATTCTTTTGTAGCATTTAGAAAATAATCTTTATTCCTTTATTCTCCTGGGTTAGCGCAAGCGATCTAATACAGCCTGCAAGAAATGCTCATTACTGAAGCAAATTGAGTAAAGCTAAAAAATTAGACCCTTCAGGGTGTTATTCTGCACACTGAATGCAGTGCTGTCAGAAAACAGGAGGCTCAGTTTGAAAAGATGCCCCCCCAAAGCAGAGACAGATTTCATCTCGGATAACCCTCGATGGCCAACACAGAGTTCTGATTTGAACACAATGCCCAGGCACACGTTAGTGATGGCAGAGCCAGCCCTGACGGGGTTACAAGAGCAACTCATCTCATTTTAAAGCAGATATCAGCACCTCATCACACAGGGTTCCTGCATTCTGGCAACCCCACCCCAAATCCAGCAGGTTGGCCCTGGATGTGTCACTCGAACTGCCCCGGCAGCGCAGCCAACCTGTTTGTAATGGGTTGGGATGGATTAAAGGTGAACCCTTAATAATCAAGAAGCTGTGTGATTTCACACCTTCCTTCCTGTAAATACAACTTCAGGCCTTGTTTACTGTGACCTTCTGGGTGCTTCTGCTCCATCAGGGAGGGGCACTCAGCCACCCCATCCTACCTGCTGCTTCCAAAAAGTTGTGTCTACTTCATTCCCACAGAGTGGTACAAAATTGTCAGAAAGTTYAACTAAGCCCATGAGTGAGATTCAGAAATAATGCTGTCAAACACACATCAAAAAAGTTTTGGTTTTTCTGGATTTTGAATTATTGAGACTTACCCCACTTTGCCTCTATGGCAGGTAAGAATTCATTTTAGAAAGAAAGAAGTGGCTGACCAAAAATGCAGAAATAAAAGCTGAATATCAGCCCTATTGAGGTGGAAAAGTATTCCTTTCTCTGTGTGGGAATATATTGTTAAAAACTCTTTCAACCTAATAATATCAGATGTTCTATCAGATGGAGTGAAAACATGTCATTTTGATCTTTACAATTGTCACTTTAAATGTTTTTTTATGCTGGGCCTCTAGCCAGAAAAAGAATAGCAATTTTCTTAAGCTTCAACACTGATCAGCACTGACTAATGGTACTGAATGCAGAGCATGCCATCATTTCAATATGTTTTCTRTACTCTGAGCATTCTTCGTGAAATCTGCATTTTTAAGATGTACAGTACACAGGAGCTGGATGTTTAATTTACTATAAAATCACCCTCAAGCTGCAAACCTGCAAATCATGTTAGTTAAACGGCGTGTTTATAGGTTTACTTGCGAAACCGAAGGAGGCCGGTGGGGAGTTTGTCACCTGCTACTCTTTGGAAAATTAAAACAAAACCTTCTGTTTGCCTCTTACTTCTTTTGAGTCTCCACATGGATCCCTTTGGTTGGAGACTTTGTCCTGSCACTGAAGCAGGACCAAGGGACCTCTTTTGGGATGCTGGGGCAGGCATTTGCCCAACTTAGCCAGCAGCTGTTTTTAAAAGAGGTTTGGAACCTTGTCACCCTTAGGGTAGATCTGCACRCTGTATTTCAAGCCTAAAATCAAGCCAAATTTAAACTGGGTGGTTGAGGTAACACAGAGACACAAAATAAGAGGTTCATAACACAGAGCAGAAGGCAGTACTTGGAAATGTGCTTGGCACCAAGACTTCACCCAGCCTGACCTCAGTCTGTGGTGGGAAGAGATCCAGACCCGTCAGCCCAGTTGGGTCCCTCGTCTCAAAACCCTTCCTGCACCATGGCCATAGTCTGTTCCTCTTGTTGAGGGGATCAGGCTGGCCAGGGAACCTCCTCAAAAAGATTGCTCAAGGCTATTTGGGGGATTGTCTGCAGCCAGGTTACCAATATAGGAATTGTCTGCAGCCAGCTTCAGGCRTCCTTTCATCAGCAAAAGTGGCTGCCTGCACTCCTCTTGTAGTTGTAAGCAAGGCAATTTGGCTTTCCCAGCCTTAAATTAACAATTAGCAGTATCAAGGTCAGTCATATATTATGAATCAGTTGTAAAGTTTCATATGTATTTGTATATATTTATGTATATATAAATACCCCAACTTGCAGGTCTTACTTGCAATCACGCATATTCAGCTCCTGATCTGTATAAAAGTGGCTCATCCCATGCATTCATCATTTCTTAACCCTTTCTGGGGGGTTCACCTGCATGTGGAACCTCAATATAGAGTGTGAATGAAAATGTTCAGTCTCAAGGAATCTCTGCTGAGGGAAACATCTTCCCCTGGGTGCTAAATTCACACCAATTTTCTTGCAAGCTTGTGGAGTGAGAAACTGGGATTGCAGGGGSTGGTCTCTGTTTTGGGTTCTGAAAAATGCATGGGTTTGGTGCTTGCTTGTATAAAARCTACAAATACTTTCTAAAGTCAGCGATTTAAGGAGAAAATTACTTCAAACRCTTCTCATGATCAATAAACATGAACCTCCTCTTGTAATTCTAGAAATTATTAAATGCACTGAAAGTGTTGAAGTACAACACAAATAAAATCCTAGAAAAAAATGGACGCAGTTCCTTCTTTCTCAGCTGCAATTTATTCCATTTGAAAATCTCATACTAATACAGGAGACAGTTAGAGAGCAAGGGAGGATTCTTTTCCATTTTTTTTGTAAGCCCAGAAATGAAAATACTTCGTTACGAAAATAATTTGCACAATAATAGAAATAAGTAAGTGCAGTGCAGACTCTCTGGAGTAAAGCTTTCCTTCCCTCTTTGCTTCCTCACAAACCCTGACAGTCTGCTCATTAACAGGGAATTGGATTTACATGCCATTTCCAGAGAAGAAGAAAGCACTGGTGTATGTACTGTATAATAAGCACTTAGATTTTTGGTTTAATATAGATGGGTGGGTGCGTTAGCATTTTTAAGTCTTTCCAGAGTGAATTAAGTTTTGATGACCTCTTTCATTTTTGACAAGAGTCCCCAGCTTAGACCTGTAAATTYGAGTTTGATTAATATGACTGTGTGCATCCTGCTGCAGCAGTCCAGCTTGTGCTGGTTTTGGTRACAGTGCAGGCAGGAAATATTCTCCCAATAATTCAGGTAAAGCACCTTTTTCCGCATTCTTTTTTTTTGCAAACTCAGCATCATTACACATCAAAGGGTGTTCAAGTGATGTCCTGGAATATGCCTTGTGTCCTCCTGAAGGAGAGAGGGCTGTGGTACTGGGGGGGCATCAAAGGGTGTTCAAGTGATGTCCTGGAATATGCCTTGTGTCCTCCTGAAGGAGAGAGGGCTGTGGNAAAAAAAACCCCACCCATTTGTAATAAATTATTCATCCTTGGCTCATTTTGATGCACTTGAAATTAAAAAGGACAGGAAACAAGAGCTGAAATTAGGGACTTTTAAGCTGTGAAGAGATGTCAGCCTGCAGGACCTGTGATCCCTGGAGGAGGGATGGAATTGCATCAAATTCCTGAGGGGCTGTGAAGTTATCCCTGTGGTGTTTGAACAGCCCCATGCAGGGGCTCTGGGGGGAAAATCTGAAAAATGGGCTCTGGTTTACACCTGTTTGAAGTTTTCAGGTATAGGGTAATGAAAAAGGTCATTTCAATGCATATTTTTGTGATCTAAAAGGGGAGGGAAATGTCCCACTTCCATGTGATTTTTTGCAGCATTGGAAACAAAAAGACAAAACTAAAAAAAAACCTAAAAAAAAAAAATTTAATGTGTTCTTTTTCCAGAGCAGTCATTGCACATCTGCCTTTCCAGTGAGTGCATTAAGTTGGCTGAAATTGAAAGCTCAGATAGGAGCTGCTCTCAAAGCATTTCTTAGGAATATTTTTCATTAGCTTGTATCATTACATGCAAAATCCCTTCTTCACCCTCACCCCATCATGATTCCTTTCACACATGAGGGGGGTGAGGGAATTTATCTGAATTAGAATCTATGCAAAGATATCTTTAAAAGGGTCTCTAACAGAGGATACTTTGCTTTTAGAAGCYGTGACGGGGAGGTGTATGCAGAGTGACTAAGACAGCCAATTAATATGTTATATAAACAGTGAGCACCACTAGAAAAAGGAGAGAGAGAGAGAGAAAAAAAATGAGATATTTGGGGTGGGGAAGGAAGGGGGGAAGGGAGGTTGTAAGTATAAAGTGTTTGCCTTAGGACTTGTCTTCAGTTACAGAGCCAGACTCACATGACTGGAGCCTGGTTTGATGTGGTAATGAAGCATTGATCACAGGAAAAAGATGAAATGGCCTTTGCTCATTCATTATTTTTATCTTCTAGCTGTGGAAGACAGAAAATTGTTCATAGGAATGGTTTCGAAGAAGTGTAATGAGAATGATATCAGGGTGATGTTTTCTCCGTTCGGCCAGATAGAAGAATGCCGAATCCTTCGGGGACCAGATGGGCTGAGCCGAGGTGAGTGTGCAGTCTGGAAAGTCTCTTTCCTTAAGTGCTAATTGGGAGCTTTATGTCACAGCCCAGGTAGGCAGAGCTGCTGTCTGCAGCGAGAGGTTATGCTGTAATACGTCCCACGTGACCAAGGGATCCACATGAACTTTTCACAGCGACTGAAATTATCGCCTTTTATTTCCAGTGTCAGAAAGGTCTCGGTGCCAACATATTAACTTGTGTTATCACCCTGTTTGTCAGCTGGAAAGGTTCCTTTGCACCCTGAGAAAACACCCTCAGTTTTCCGCTCTCACAAAATCAAAGTTGCTTCCCTGACCCCCATTTCTGCTTTGTAGCACAAGGCCAAAAAAAAAAAAAAAAAAAAAAACAAACGGGGAAAAAAAGAGAGAAAAAAGAAAAGGACAGGACGGTAAATGACTGCTCAAAGCCATAAAGGGTGATGGGAGCTGGCCCTCATTGTAGCATTTATTTCCTCCATTCCTGTGTTTTCTGTAACTATATGCAAAACATAGGTCTGCTGTAACKGAGAAACAAAGAGATTCGCTTGGAYCTGAGTGCTTTGCCTGGACAAAAGTTTGTAAAAAGAGTTTTTAAACCTCATGCCTCTTCCAGAACCCAAAAACCATGGGAGAGGTGTTAAGCATCACCATCAAGAGTGGTCAAGTGGCCAACCTGAACTTGGAAATGAAATGCAGCACAGACTTCAAGAACCAGTGATCCCTTCTGAGTGCAAAAGTAGCTTTTAGGGAAAGGCCTCTGGAAAACACACTGAAAAGAAAGATAAAAACGTGTTGATGACCCAGACTGCATATTAACTCCATGGCATATGGACCTGAATTTATTCTCAGGGCATGAACCTTCTCAAAATATCAGTGCCAGGGGTTATTGAGTGGAAAAGAAAATAGGGACAGTCCCATCTCTCAGTGCAGAATGATGCTGTGGTACCTGCCACAGCCATTTAATGGCACAGGGAGTAAAGTAAGTTTAATTGTGGAGCTGTGGAAAACATCACATCTACAGAAAAAAACAAATACATAGAAAGCACAGTTTATGCATTTTATTACATTTTCGAAAGGCATAGAAAAAAAGAAATAACCCCCCCTTTCTGCATATAGATATGGGTATAGATTTAGATTTTTTTTCCTTTTCTTTTTTAACTACTTGTTTTTAGTAGGCAATAGGATTCACAGAATTTTGTGCAACAATTTGTGCATGGGGTTTTTTGTTTTGTGGGCAGCCCAGTTTCTATAAATCACCTGTAAATTTCAGCAAAGGAAGTTCAGGTATTCCTATACTTTGTGGCACTGATTGGAAGCTGTAGTACTTCTGAATAATAAGGGACTTGTTGAAAAGCCACTCTGACAATAAATAGGGACACCCAAGAAAATTAAGCACTTACATTTACACTTTATGATCCCCAAACTTTTGGGGCTGGGATGCAGCAAAGCTTTCAGTCAAGGAGAGCCTCATGATCATGGCTTTTGCCTTGGGGAAATTGGGGCAGAATCTGAGGTTGGTTCCTGCAGCTCAGTAAGGAATATTTACTGCTGGAATCGAGTGTTGCCCTTATCTTTCTAGACCCAACACTGAGGCAAAATAAGTATTTCTGATTTTCACTGATTTCATTGTGTGAGCAGCACAGGGAAGGGATGATGGAAGACACAAGTGGGAAAGGAGCTAATTAACTGCTGAAATAACAAGATCTGCACATCAGATGTTTTGAGCCCCAAAAAAAGATTTAATTGACTTGTAAGCAGCACCCAACAAAGAAATGGATCTTTCCTGGGATCCATAAAAATYCCACTGCATACTTACTTTTATTCAACAAACTGGGTATAGTAGAAGCATAGAAAAGCTAATTATGAAATCAAAGAGTGTGAGTGAGACTGGTGGGGTGGTTTTGTTCTGCTGTGAACAGCAATCTCATGACAATCAGGAGCTGAGATTCTTAAGCCATGTCTCTGATGGATCAGGCAGGGCTGTGTCGTGTGCTGGYCAGCACAGCTGTAGAGTTCTTGTGCTGATCTCTGCTGCTGGAGACTSAAGATCTCAGTCCAGGTAGGTCACACACCAGTAGCCACAGCAGAGCTGCATCCTCTGTGCCACTCGGGTTCATTTCGGTCGCAATCACGACTGATATTCTATCATGCCCTCATGCCTCATGCCTTGTTAAACTCGAATTGCTTTCTACACACCCATGTTCACACTTCAAAATGAGTTCAGCTGYGCCAACCAGGTTTTCAGGCAGATTTTTATCAGCTTCACAAAACCTCTGCTCCATRAGAGAAGGCAAAGTGTTGGGAAAATGGTTGGTATTGCAGTTGAAATGAAAAGTGCTGAGGGACATCTGCAGAGGAGGGAGCTTGACTGAAAAAGCACAAGGTGAAAAACTGCTTCAACAGGGAGAACTTACACTGTCAAATCTCTGTAAAGAGTTCCAGTCCTTAATGAGTTTTAATTCGTGTTGCCATTTCCAAGATGTTCATTCCCTTTGCCACAAACAGTATTTGTTTTCTCAGCACCCATCCAGAGGTGCTTCCCTCCTAGACACAGAGGGGAAATGAAGAATATTCAGTGTCTGAGGAAAACACTGACCTTGCCATGCCAGAGCCTTCAGGAGCTCAGTTCAGTGCTCACAGCAGTGAGATGGAAATGTGGKCCAGTAAACTCTGTTTGGCATTTCTTCTCAATTGTATAAGGAGTACACATCACAGTATCTCAGACACAAAAAGCTTGAAAAGTATCTTCCTTGGTATTTATGCCAACTTTCAATCTTTGTTAAGGGGTTCAGGCAAATAATCTCTATTACCAGCAGATAGTTACAAGGAATAGCTCCAGGTTACACTGTGCAGTTTTGATTTGAACTGGGTTTGGTTTGGTTTTTAATTTAGTGAAGACTAAAAAGGTTTCAGTTGACTTTTATTTTAGCCCATGGCTGCTCAACAACAGCARCCCTACCACTGGTAGGGTGACAGTCTGCTGTCAACTCACAGGCAGGGTGTAGGGCTGTATTGTACCACAGGGGCTCCAGCAGCAAGGAGAAATCCCATCCTGTGGCATCCAGGGAAAATGTAACACTTTGTGATGAGTGTGRTGCAAGTGCTGAGGTACAGGGAGAGGGGCAGAGAGATGGAACCAGTTGTTTCTGGTGTAGCTCCTAACCAAGAGTTGCCAGAACTTTAATAAAGCCACATCCATTGCTGTCACTACTGATAATGGGCCATCACCTTTCCCACCCCAAATTCCTATTGTCAGCTCTTTGAAACTCTGCTGTAAAATGAGACTAAAGTAATGATACAGAGCTCCAGTGTATTTTAAAGAAACTGAGATTTTTTTTTTTTTAGCTTGAGTCATGTTTTCCCCCACTGTTATTCACTCCTGTATCTAAGAAATTACCATTGTTTATAKCTGGAACTTGCTGTATTTCGATCAGCTACAAGAACAGGCAGCAACCAAAAGGCATTGCCTTCAAAAGGCTCTGGGATAGTCCCTGTGAAATTAGCTGGCTGGCAGAGAGTAATTCCYAGCCGTGAAAGGTATTAAAAATAAAAATACCCTGTTGGCTGTAGAGATAAAGAAGYCAGGGACCCAGCAGCCATGGAGGCTGGCCGTCTCTTGAGCAGGGTTCACAGGACTATCTAAAGAAGCTTGCCACTGCCTGTACGATATTCATTATTCAGAGAGAAGRATTCAGCCTGCAGGGTTGTTTAATCCAGCACTTTTTCTGAAGAGCTAAGTATGCTTTACAAAAATTCATGATTGTGATATCATGTGCTAAGCTTCATTATCATGAAAAAGCAGAAGTGAACTGCCTCAGATGATTAAGATTTTAAATCACTTATTGTGAACGGCTTAAGGAAACTTTCAGACCTCCTGACTCCCAGTGCTGGGTAACGTCTGCATGGCCACAGATGCCAGCACAGAGAGCCAGGCAGTGAGAGCTGGAGTGTGCAAAAATAGCCAGAAATACCCAKGTTTGATTTGTAGCTGTTCCACTGATGTGCTGTATTGACCATGGCTGAGTTGGTCACTCATCATCTTTGTTATCCTGTTGCTTAAAATAAAGGTAGCGATGCTCCTCTGCCTTTGTTAAATGCTTTTTTTAGATCAGTGGATCAATATCTCTGTATCACTCTAGGAATTATTACCATCCATAATGATGATAAAAAAAATCCTCTTATCCTTATCACAGCAGCACCACATAGCAAATTATTCTGCTGTATTGCTAAGTGCAGATTTATATGTCAGATACCTGAAARAAGTCAACTGGGTTAATAGCATGCACTGAAAAAACCTGCTAATAACATGTAGAGAGAGTTAGATATACCGTGAAAATTGTGAAAAAGCTCAAAATGCATTTTTCTATACCTTCTAGGCTCCTAATTGTATGATTTTTTAACAAAACATCACCAGRCACATGGGACAAGTGAACATTTCTGCAGACATTGATTACAAGGATTGTTTTTTTTCATTCTTTCTTTGCTTTAAGTGCAGGTTAGAAAGGGAATAGGGAGTTACACTGTGGCCAGGCAATTTAATTTCTGGAAAATCCATTCAGAACTTTCAGATTCAAGGCTTTTCTTGATGAATTAGTGAAAGAAAATTAGTGTTTGCATYGCAATTAATTGCAGAGAAAGGTAGGTGAGGCGACTTTTATGCTGGGTTGTTTTTTTTTTATTCCTGTGGATATTTACTGCTCCTTTCTGAACTAAAGTAAACGAGGTGCCAGCTGTGGGAACAGCCCAGATTAGAGGTCACCTTCTGAATTGTGTATCAGTAAATGGTGGGAAGCAAGGACAGTGGAAGCACTGTATTTTTAATAGCTCTTCAGAARCACCTCCGTGCCTTATCCCTTTTGCAGCAATGTGGTAACATTTTCATTTTTTCCAATCATTATGGCACATTTAATTTTGTTTTCCCTTGCTGAAACTCTTTTGCAGCTGGGAGGGAAGAAGCACATCCAGCTGACCAATGTCTCTGCTGGCCTTTGGCCAGTAACTACATCT